AAGAAATCTTATAAATAATTAAAGCCAGGTTATACATATTCTAGTTAAAAATAACATACCTTTTGTAGAAATATATCCATTAGGAACGTTTTAATGCCACTCATAACATATTAGCTAACCATAATTCGCTTTCCACAATTTCAATAGGATCAAAATCCATATTACCACTTTCTTGTGCTACAGTATGACAAATTTCTAAGTTACCTGGTCCACCGAAATTTGTATTTGACAGATCAACCATCGATCCAATCTCCAGTTTCTCACTATTTGATAATTGGGAAGATACCAAAACTTCATCTTGCTCTAAAACCATATTATTGTTTTCGATGGCCGCATAGGTAGTTAGCTCTAGTGCACTATTGCGTAATTCGCATTCTGATAACTCTTTTCCGTAAAACTGAAGTTCATTTTTAAGGTTGAAAATATAAAACAAGTGAATTTTAGCCATACTTGCAACCCGTTCAGGTGATAATCATAACCTGTATATGCCATATAGCTATTTTAGAATAGAAAAATTATGTTCGCAACTTGCTTGCAAAGGTACAATAGCAAAAACAATTTTGGCAAAGTCTTGAAGATATTTATAATTATCCTCAATTACACCCCACCATAAACTTGGTGATGATAAAAAATCATAATCAGAGTCAAATAGATATTCATTATTTTTATAACGAATCAGTTGAGTAGTTATCTTTCTGCAGGTATCCTCATCGTTGTAAATACTTCTATAGTATTTAATGGCTATCTCACAGATTTGTTGAAACACACCTTTGTATAAACCAAGACCTACAAAGAAAATAATAAATATAATTTTAGAAACTTTAAAAAATTTTTAAGTGTTCGTAATCTATTAAATAATTTCACCTGGATTTTCTATTCAAAAGCATTCTAATTACCAGACAAGAACTTATTAAAGCCATGTACCCTTATATAAAGTAGTTATATCAGCATGAGCTAATAATTAGTACATTTATGTATATGTACATACTGTTACAGTACCGTGGCCTTCTTAACAGCAGTACTATAACAATGACACGGCTACAGGGATCCTTCACAGGTT